TAGCCCTCACCACACATATAAGTAGAGGTAAGTAGACCACGACCCCCCACTGGCAAAGCGAAGGATTGCGACGATTCTTTGGTGCCCTGGGGTTAATCAATTTTACAACTTCCCGGAAAATCAAAAAGCCCTTATCATTTTTGCATCTTGTCTGAGAATTTTACATCCCTGAACCAAATTACCACCTGTGATTATTTTTCTCAAGATCATGTCAGGCCAGAATAGCAATTGAAAGTCAGCGCACATCTTCTGTGTGTGTTTCCATAGTCGTTTCGTGATTAGCAACGTGACAACATGTGAAATATACTAGCTAATATTTGTCTTATTGATTGTTGTGGGTGCCAAGGTCACGTGAAACTCAGGTCAAGGTCATTTACTTGAAATTATCTCGGTTAACTTCCTTAAATTTACACCTTTTTACTGTGGTTTTTAGGAAGTGTTGGTTTGAAATTTAGCACCCATTTCAGCATTTGAAAACTAGGCATACTTAGGTATCAGTTATAGTGCCTTTGCAATATGTTGCAAGGCTGTAAGTGTTGGTTAACATTCTATGGATAGCCGGCAGAACGCCTAATGGGTGATCTGGCGTGACCCGTCCTACCCCAAATGCTTTGATACATCATCTTTGATCAAAGCAAGTGGAAATTCGGAGTCAGAAGCATGCCAAGTCCCAGCAAACTCCACTTGTAGACATTCTAGCAGGACCCAATTTTCCGTGCTTTTGGGTTATTAACCTGATCTGGGAGGTCAACCAGTGACCTAGGATCTCAGCATTGATCAGGACATAAAAATAATTGGCTTTCTCTCGTCAGCGATGACCAGGACCGTCAAATCTTCGGATTTCTCTCGTCACGAGCAGCTCGCTCTTTTTTTATTTTTCAGCGAAGCTCTGGCTCTTTTTATCAAGGGCCGAATGACTGAGGGCTTCTACGCCCCTCCGCTAGATGTAAGACGCTGAAAAGAAATGCCTAAATGGGTGAGGGTTAAATATCGATTGGTTTCTAAGTGCCGAAGCCCGAAGCACTTTAATTTACTTCGATAGCAGTTTTTAAGACCAACGAGCTCGAATACTATAACTTCTTGAGCAATGTAAGCACCACATAAAATGAATCGTGAGAGAAGCGGCTGAAGATTAAGGAGCTATGAGACACTTAAAAAACGGCATAGATTAGAAACTGCACCTAACTCGCACTGGTTTTTAAACCTTTTCGTTGCAGGCTGGTAGATTAAATTTTAGGATTGATTTCAGCTGATGCTCAAATGGAGCTATTCATTCGTTCAATCATGCGACCATCCAATTCCATTCATAAAAGAAGCCAGTGACAAAATTGTTCATTTTAGATATAAGTTTGAAATACAAACTCAATAAAAGTTTAATGATACGGCAAATTTGACAGTTTTTATAATGAACAGACAAATAACTTTAACCCTCGCACGACCAGGCCATTTCTCATAACACGAACGACCAGGGGGGGGGGGTTGTTGTTACGACCCTCCCTGGCGTTTCGAAACGGAAGGTCGTAGAGCTTAGCGGAAAAAACCAACGGATTGCTCTCAACGAGATCTCGCGATTGGTGGTATATTTTTTTGGTCCTAGGTCAACATTTGACCTACTTATGACCGGTCAAAGGTCAAATTTTCCGAAAAAATCAAACTTTTTCAACTTTCCGCGGCGATTGCGGCAAAACGGTTAAGGATATCGACTTGAAACTTTCACTATCGTGTTCCTTGATCAATTCTCTATCGTTTGGTATGTATTTCGTTTCCCTAGCTCTAAAAATGGCGCGTTGGGAGCGCCGGAAGTCGGCAAGGTCACAGTCGGCGGCAGAAATTCGAAAAATCAAAATTTAAATTTTTGAAATCTGATTGTATTTTTGGATTTGGGAGGTCCATTTGCTCCCTATAGAAGCTAATATTGCTGCATATTCCCATTGAGGTGACAAGAATTAGCAAAATAGTGGTTCGGGCGCTTTTCAAAAATAGTACCGGACGCTGTTCCTCTTGTGACGTCATAGCTCCGTGACCTGACCTGACCCGGTCAATTTTCTTGCACCACACGATAGCCAATGCTTGCCCCAACATGCATGGGAAGTTTCATCATGATCCATCAAACAATGTGGGTATCACCGGCAGAAAACCTAGGGATTCGGCGCACACGTTTGGTAACTGTCGGCCGGAGGCTGTACCTCTTATGACGTCATAACTCCGTGACCTGACATGACCCGATCAATTTTTTTCGGCAAAAGATGCGCAAAGGTTGCCCCAGAGGGTATTGAAAATTTCAGCCCGCTACGACAAGCCGTTTAGCGTGCACTTCGAAAAAACCTCAGGGGGGGGGGGTTGATACAACCCCCCCCCCCTAGGCGTTCTAGGGTTAACAAATCAAGGTTGAGAGCCCCAAATAGGGGAGAGTGAGGTAAGATGAGCCAAGGGGCAAGTTTAGCCACCCCATGTTTCTCAGCTCCTATGGCGCTTGACTTGAGCTTCCATGTCCCGTTCGCTTACGATGCTGCAGTCTTTCACGTGAGACGGCAACGTTCTCAAGCTCAGCACCCGTAACATGTGGTATCGCCCCTGATAACTAAGACATGTTTTGCCTTTAAAATGAGATGGTTGTTATCTGCGGTGCATGGTTATTTTCCTTAGCGGGTGTCATTAATCGAAAATGGCCACGGGCGGGGCAAGATGAGCCATTTTCACCTGGGGGAAAATGAGCCAGATAAGCCATTGTTGTCTCCGCTGTCGAAAACCAAACTGAGCTGTGCTTGTTTCTGCTGAATAAAAATGGTAGGAAATTGTTTTTCTTTGTTGATTACACAAGTTCCAAATGATTTGCAGATTATCTGAAGGATAAAATGATTTCTTCCGTGATAGAAAACTTGAGTTATTGGAATGCTTAAAACAGTCACTTTTTGATGGAGGAAAAAATTTGCCATAAGTATGCATGCCATGGAGTAAATAAAAGAGCTCACTCTTCGCCGCGCCCGGGAAAAGAAGAGGTTCGCCTTTTCTATCCATGCTCAACTTTCCCCTGTTGTTTGGGGGACTGGGGAGGGTGGTTACTGGCTCATAAACTGTCCCCTTCCCAAAGAAAAGAAAACGAAACCGATCATCCGCGAAAAGAACTATTGAGCTCGAACCAAGGTGAAGAATCGATTTATAGGTATGCAAGATGACTAACGATGCCACTTTTTGACTTCTTGTGTCAAATATATTCCATCATCTGGATAGCACGTCAACATTCTATTTGACATTTTGGTTGACATTTTGCAACAAACGTATACTATTTGGCGCGACTAGCTTCATAAATGTTCTGAAACTAAAACCGTTTCTTCGCAATTAACTTGGACCACGTCATCCCAGCTTATGCACGACAAAAATAAAATAATGCTTCAGGATCACTGGCCTGAATTCCAATGCTTAAAGTTTACTCAACACCGGTGTGGCTGAGGCACTCTTCGCTACATCTCGTGACGGCCACCATTGTGTTACATTTTTTCGGTAAGCTATAAGTTAATAAGGAAATAATTGGTGAGTGGGTTGAAAACAGCCCTCACCCTCCACCCCCCACCCCCCTCCTTCTTCTGGAAACATAAGTAACCGAAAGATAGTCTGGCGATGGTTTATCCACCTCCTTGCCGCCGCGCCGCGCTGCGAGGCCTCGATTCGTTCGATATGTGGCTTCCTGAGCGGTCCTCCCCGAAGGCAAGGTGAAAAGTCATGGCCTGTATCAGAAATTTATACGTTGCTGAATATGTTTTATAGTTCTTCCAAGGCCTTGGACACCGTTTTCTTATATCGGATAAGCATTGCACTTTCTTGTCAATCAATACATTTAGAGAAAACTTGATCATAATCTTATACTGCGGCAATTGTAGTTCTGCTTACGGTTGCCTCTTTATGATACGGGCAACCACCTCCACTGCGCTGGAGCTCAGGCGTTCTACCCCTCCCCGCTACGGACCGGCCCTCGGGCTAGGTGTGTTAGTACTGAGCGCAAACCTGTAATAGTCACGTGACTTTCATTCACGTAGCGGGAACGGAAGCTATAGGCGATACCAAGGACGGGCTCTGGGGAGGCAACCGGCACGGAAAAATAGCACGATTGTAGTTTTGGAAGAATCTCTGTTGCGGTAAGAGGAATTATACAAAACATACGTCCTAGGAGCAACCATGTGTTATTCCTCCATACGTTGCGCTACATTTCCTTTCTCCAATGGCCAGCACTTAGCAAATAATAGCGCAATTCTAAATTGGTAATATATGTGTACAGTAGCAACTGCGGGTCCCTGTACCGTGTATGAACCTAATATACATTTTTTTGCTGAGATAAACTCTTCATTTTCAATAGATTGGACGGAGGCTGACGAAGATAGTATAGCTAGGTGAAAATCATCGAAGCCCATATTGCCCCTCGCCATTTCCTGTTTTACCCCAAGGGCGGGGCAAAACAGAAATGTGCATGACCTGTTTCAAAAGTTTTTAAAGCGTCTGGATATCAGATAAAGCAAATGCACTGGCATCCTGGCACTTCATCAGCAAGACATAAGGTCTCGCTCAGCACCATGAACAGTAGTTTTGATCCATTCCTTAAGGACCAGGAGAAGATTTTCTCCTGAAAAAGAGTGCCACTGTGCCCATATTACCCTACCTTCCCATACAATTAATATTGTGGTGTTATATGATTTTTTAAGCCTGTCTGATCGCTTTATGTGCACAAATAGATAAGGCACGAGTCAGCTATTGCAATAAATAGTCAAAAAAAAATCAAGATAAAGATGAAATTTTCAACTAGCCAGTGTATGGACATATTGAGTTTTCACGAGGGTTTTTCATTAGAGCGCTTTAAACGATTAGACAGGCTTAAAAATCGGACTTTTAATTACTGTTACACTTGATTTGCAGTGTAAATAACTGTTACAATCTATTTCCGGTGTTAATTCCTGTTTAAGCGTCGTTGTATGCGCTGGTTTCAATTCGGCACAGTGATTGTTGGTCGAGACAGTCAGTTTATATATGTGTATTTTCATTGTACGTAATTCTGAAAGAGAACAGTCGATATCAGAAATGAGAAAATAAACGGATAGCAATTAGCAAATGAATACAAATGATAATAATGCTTTGACCGGTGCCGTAGCTCAGTCGGTAGAGCGTTGGACTCCGCGTGCTGAGAGCACGCGTTCCCGGTTACAATAGTCCGGGTTTGAAGCGCGACTGGCTCTGACGTTTATAGGCCTCCTAATAGATATGGTCGCGGTTGGTGGCAGGCCGTAGCCAGACGAATTCAGTGAGGGGACCGGCCGTGCCACAGTGATGCAAATGGGGTTCACGAATTAAATTTTGTTGGGTTAGGCCCTTTCGGTCGACAAGACCATTGCAGAGCCGGAAGGATGATAGGAATTAGGGGGAGACATTGGTCTGGGCAGGCACCCTAGTGAGTCGCCGGTGCTGAGCCCGTCCGAAGACAGGCCACCCAGCCCCAAGGCACTCACTGCACCCGGCTACGGGGTGTGCTCCCTCGGGAGCAGCGGTGCCGCTCCAAGGGAGCAGCCCGCATGAGATAAAGTTGCCTGTCCAGCCCGGAAGGGGGTGGCGGTGTGGAGGAGAAGGATTTCAGTATCCTGAGGATAGAAGCATGGAACAATGGGGTTCACGAGTGGCCATAAATACCAAAAAGTCAAGTTCACCAATCAGAGTAAATCGCGATATGGCCAACCAAAGAAATGTTTAGGGCATCTGAAATCACATAGCTTTCATGTTTTTGTCAAAGCCGGCCACACAGTGTGTGCCCGTTAGTCCGCTATGCCTTAGCCTTCCCCAATCATTTCTGAGCCGCACCGTGAAAGAATTAAGGCGCTAGCACAGGGCGGTTCTTGAAGCTATTGGGCGCTATTGAAGATCAGGGCGCTATTGAAGTTTTTGTCCGGCGCGGCCGGGTGTCGTATAATTTATATTAATAAATAATATAATCGTATAATTATACATTGCCATGTATAATTTTATGCCATTTGTATGAAATGACCGCACGCTAGCGGCGTTTGAACTTGCGAGTATCTGAAGTCATTTTATGACATTGAAGATGTCACAACTTCTGACAATCATACACGAGGCCGGCTTTAGATAGATAGCTAGATAGATAGATATATTTACAACACATCCACAGTGAAACGTGGCTTTTCGGTGTTGCACGTCAAACATTGGTTCATCACAATAGGCTGGTTCATCACATTGGCTCATCCCCACTCCAAGCCCCATCCCCATCATCATCCCCACTTTGACAATAACATGAAAATCATGTTTTTCAGACACCCTAAACATTTGCCTGACTGGCCATATTACGATTTATTTCATTAGGTGAACTTGAATTTTTGAACCTTTTCGGTATTTATGGCCATTCGTGAACCCCATTTGCATCACTGTGCGTGCGCGGCTATGTGCGCACTGCGCACGTTAAACTTTGGACTCCAAATTCTACCATAGAACCGGAATTGCGCGATCGGAGGGTGGAGGGCAGGGGGTCAACGCGACAAGCTTCGCTTAGGGGGCTCAGTCCTTGCGAATCATTCCATTCAAAGGGTTCGGACTAAATTATAAAAATAATATAAATGGTAATGAATGCCACTGACAACACCGTTCGTTCATTGCGCCGTTTAATAGACGCGCGTCAAATCACGAGCTGTTGGCCACGCGTCGATCAGCTGTTGGCCACAAATCTAGCTCACGGCACAGCCGAGGTGCACTGGGCGGTGGCGGCATCTGAAGTCGGTCACCAGCGCCCCTCTGCGGCTGCCGCAGTGATAACGCTCCTGACGATGCTGTTCAGGGTGACGGACCGGATGGCGGAGGTGATAGTGACCCGGCAGAGCGGGCACCGGTCGTCGCCCCGGTCCCGGGTCTCGGCCAGGCAGCCGGCGCAGAAGGTGTGGCCACAGCCGAGGGTGGTGGCCCTGCGGAACAGCTCCAGACAGACGGGGCAGCGCAGCTCCTCCGACAGACCGCCGCCGTCGGAGGAGGGCGGCCTGAGCGCAGCGGCAGCTCCCGACACTGGTGCAGCGGCAGCTCCCGACACTGACGCAGCGGCAGCTCCCGACACTGACGCAGCGGCAGCTCCCGACACTGACGCAGCAGCAGCTCCCGACACTGACGCAGCAGCAGCTCCCGACACTGACGCAGCGGCAGCTCCCGACACAGCAGCAGCAGCTCCCGACACTGACGCAGCAGCAGCTCCCGACACTGACGCAGCGGCAGCTCCCGACACAGCAGCAGCTGCTGCTCCCGACACTGGTGCGCGTGGAATGGCGCCGTTCTCACGGGAGCTGGGAGTGACTCTCCGACTCTCATTAGTCTGAGGGCAAAATAGCTGTCACGTGAGATGGCCAGTCAGCTTCTTTGATACAGAATTAACTCGCGCCCCGTTCAGCTATTGGCGGACGCTGCCACCCAATGGGGGAGGCGTTTTGCCTCCCCCCCCCCCCCAGGATCTCGGAAGGTTACCTACCGATTTTGAAAATTCGAACGGCGTTCGACAGCCCTACCAGGGAACTACCAAGTGAAGTTTCGCTGACCTAGGTACAACCGATGACGTCACAGGGCAGGTCAAAGGCCTCATTTTTCACTGATTACGGGCCTTCTAAGGAATGCGTTATAACATCGAATAAAAGGCATGCTATCGAAAATCATCGATGCAACGTTGATCGCCTAACGCATATGTTGCTTAGGAGGTCACTGTTGCCAGGCCAGGTCAGGTCATTAAGGGTCACAATATGGTCCCAACTATACTGGTCATGTGATACATGTTTTATGGCCAATTTTACACTTCAAATTAAATGGTATGGGCTAGACGACCATTGGGGGCCTGTTGAGGTTACGCTCTGACGGAGGTCAGGTCAAAAAAGGTCAAAAAAGGTCAAAATTGAAAGTTGATATTTTGCATAAAAGGGTATGTATTCGATGCAGCTCACTAAAGGGAATCCATTGGTGGTCTTCGTTTTGCTGTGCGTGGTCTACATATAACGGCTGAAAATAGTTTAAAAATTTCACATCAATTTTGAGTAGTTTTTTTCGCCATAACTTTGTCAAAAATGGAGCTATCGAGCTCAAATTTGGCACGCCAATAGCAGCCTTATAGTTCTATTTGACCTAAGGTCAAGGTCATGACCTGACCGGAAAAGGTCATGTCGCAATCAGTCGATCCGTATGGTCGCCCTGATTACATTTCGGGTGTCTTTTCATAGCTCTAGCACGTCTCTTTCAAAAGTTATTGCCAAAAAAAAAACTACTGGGGACCTTTCATGACCTGGTGACATTGAGGACATGCATAAAGAGTGGTCACAGTTGCCATTTTCCTATTTAGTGTGTCAAGTTTATATCTATTCCGATGTTTCAGTGTTAATACTTCATACTTACGTTCGTCGAGAAGAGGCGCTTTTGAATTTTCTTCCACTGACTTTTAATAGAGGGCGCAAAATTGACCTGACCTTATGTCACCGACATTCAGATTACGACATAAGCATTTTATACATACCCTTACTTTTATCAATCGCTAAAAGTTTCGAGTTGATCGTTCCGTCGCTGTAGCTATGACGAGTATTCTAACTTGTTTTGAGGTCACTTGGTCACTTAACATGACCTGACAACCTGATCTTGAGCGACATGGGTCTGAAGTTTTCACATAAGCGGAAAGAATGCATGAATAGGTGTGCCAAAAAAAAACGGCGGCGCCCCGAGCCGCCAATTTTTGAAATATCTGCAAAAAAAAAAACTCAAGGGTGTCCGAACCCCCGACCCTGCGTAGGTAAGAATCAGTCTTACGCTCCCTACCGACTGCAGTACAGTCGATAGAAGAGAGCGACTTAAACGACAGTCTACAGTCGACACAGAGCGTGAATCTCGTGACCTACTCAGACTCCCGGCCAGCGGTGTAGGCAGACACTGACTTACTCTCTCAACATGAGTGTGGACCTCATTATCTACTGCCAGCGGTGTAGGCAGACACTGACTTACTCTCTCAACATGAGTGTGGACCTCATTATCTACTGCCAGCGGTGTAGGCAGACACTGACTTACTCTCTCAACATGAGTGTGGACCTCATTATCTACTGCCAGCGGTGTAGGCAGACACTGACTTACTCTCTCAACATGAGTGTGGACCTCATTATCTACTGCCAGCGGTGTAGGCAGACACTGACCTACTCTCTCAAAATGAGTGTGGACCTCATTATCTACTGCCAGCGGTGTAGGCAGACACTGACTTACTCTCTCAACATGACCTGATCGAGGTAACAGAAGCCCTAGGTCACACTCACCTGGTTGTGCACTGTTGTTACGGAGTGACTGTAGCGACAGTCCAGTCCGTTGCTGCAAGTACCCTCCCAGAAGCGTCGACAGATGTGTAAGCTTTGGCACCCTGTGTCCATGCAGCCTGCGGCAGAGCTGTAGTTGTTGCAGACGTTTGGGAGGGTGCTTCCCGCTAACAGCTCCTCATCAGCGCTCTGATCTCGCCGTCTCGCCAGCTCGCTCAAATCCTTCAGCCTCTCCAACAGGTAGCGTCGCGTGAACTCGGCCTCCACCGCTGAATTCGACTTGAGCACGCGAGTTGCGACGTCAAAGAAGTCCTTTCGATGCTCCTTGAGGCGCTCAGTTTTCTGTTGGTTCTCCTTCAATCGCTGATTTAAGCTCTGTCGCATGAGTCGAGCGTTCAGTTTTGCATTGCGCTGCTTTTCAACTAATAATTGTTTTTCTTCAACTAAAGCAGCTTTTCGCTTTTGCGCTTGAAACTGTCTCTCCTGCTCTCTTATAGCACTGAGCTGCTGTTCTCTGCGTTTGCGAACTTCTTCGTCTCGCTTATGCTGTTCTTGTCCGGCCCGAACTTCAACATCATTTACACCCTGTTTTGGTTTTATTTTGTCATTTTCTTTTCCGTCTGTAGACTGGCTTTTGCCATTTTTAGTTCCAACTCGACATTGATTGGATTGAAATGTTTGAGCCGCGTTTTCTTGCACGTTAGAGCTTCTTCCTGCAATTTCGCTTCTCTTTGATTCGTCTTCCAGCTCTAGCACTTCCCCGTCTTTAATGCCTCGGTCTCCCTGCTGTTCATCTTCTGGCCGGTTCCCCGGGGCTTCATATACCATTCGCCGCCGTTTCTCGCCGACGCTGGGCTTCAAATGTTCACCTGCTGTTCCCTGCATCTGCATCGCTTTTTCTGGCCGTGGTTGAGGAGCTTCCTGATCATAATTGCTTTGTTCCTCCTCACATTGCCGCCCTCGCATTTCGGCTCCTTTTGATCTCGTCTCTTCATTTTGTTCTGGCTGCATTTCAAACATTTCTTTCTTTTGTTGCTGTTCTAGTAACATTTGTCTCTGAAGTGCAGCTATTTGCTCTTCTTTAAGTTTCAGCTTGTAGCGGTAATCCTCAAGCTGTTCATCTCTTTCACGTTCCTGCTTAAGTATGTCAGTATTTTCGGGTGCAGGCGATTGGTCATCAACCCTTTCATTCTTGCTGTCTTTAAATGTCTTTACCAGAGCTTCCGTCGCCACCATGGCAATTTCTGTCCTGCAAGAAAGAAACATGTAAAATGAAAATGTTGAAAGTTTTTGAACATCATGCACTGGGTTTACCAAAAATTCACAAAGAGTCGTTCAAAGTTAGCCTGATGCATAGGCATATCATATAATAACCATGAGGGCTCACTGTCATTGTCAACTTCAGTCCAGCCCTCCAAGAAGTGTCGTTCAAACAGAGCCGTCTTCCGTGATCGCTTACCGATAGGGATCAGATGTCCGAAGTTCCTGGCCACGGGCCTGTTTGGAGCTCCCTGTCGCGCGTGACTTCTTGTTTCCCATCGTCGGTCGCGCCGCAGACACCAGAAATGGTGCTCACGTAAGACGGAGGCTGACGCTCTGCGGAGTCAGCCCGCGGGACAGCTACCGCTAGCGCCAACAGCTGCAGCCCACTGGACAGCCGCTGCGACAGCTACAGCCCACTGGACAGCCGCGCCGACAGCTACAGCCCACTGGACAGCCGCGCCAACAGCTACAGCCCACTGGACAGCCGCGCCAACAGCTGCAGCCCACTGGACAGCCGCTGCGACAGCTACAGCCCACTGGACAGCCGCGCCGACAGCTACAGCCCAATGGACAGCCGCTGCGACAGCTACAGCCCACTGGACAGCCGCGCCAACAGCTACAGCCCACTGGAGAGCCGCTGCGACAGCTACAGCCCACTGGACAGCCGCGCCGACAGCTACAGCCCACTGGACAGCCGCTGCGACAGCTACAGCCCACTGGACAGCCGCGCCGACAGCTACAGCCCACTGGACAGCCGCCGCGCCAACAGCTACAGCCCACTGGACAGCCGCTGCGACAGCTACAGCCCACTGGACAGCCGCGCCAACAGCTTCAGCCCACTGGACAGCCGCTGCGACAGCTACAGCCCACTGGACAGCCGCGCCGACAGCTACAGCCACTGGACAGCCGCTGCGACAGCTTCAGTCGCGGCGACAGCTGCGGCGTTCGGCTTCTTGTCCCCAGCTGCGGCAAAGGTACACATACCGTAAGGGGAGACTATTTGATGCGATGCTTACAGTTTTTGTCTTCGCTTCCCTCTTAGAATTGATGCATATTTCAGAGAGTTAACATGTAAATCGCAGAAAAATGTAGTTGTCTGTAACCCTCCCCAGGTAAGCATGTTTTAGATTTAGTTACGAAAAAGTTTAAGTGCATCTATCAAGTATAATAAAGGATGTTTGTTTTAGTTCAAGCTTATATCAAATATGCCTTGAGCTTAGTGGTCGACAGGTGTCATCCGGGGTCATGCCCATTTTTCGACCCCAGACGGGGCATTTCCCCACCCTGCCCATTACTGACGCAATCAAGGATACTGAAATTCCTCAGTGCTCCGTGTCTCTATGGTTATTTCTGCATATCGAATTTAGGATAGTGCGGCAAAACGTCCAGCGCGGGTCAAACGCCCACCCCTCTTATTTTCAAGAGTTGCCCACACATTTCACTCCTATTTGTGTAATGCTCGACTTTCAAAGACTCCTCGACTTAATTAATTGATTTAATTAATATCCTTGAGTTGATAAAAACAATTAAAGATTTCAAGGTCCAAATTGCAAAATTTTGGAAATTTGAGACAGCTTTTTTGTACAACTTAACATTCTGTGTCTGGTGATGTTTAAAATTGGATATTACTTTTTAAATGAAGGAGGAGTGGCTGTTTGAACATTGACCTAATTTTAGCCCGAAAATTGCGTATAGTGACGTTATAAAACTGTCATTTTTCCAAAATTTTCGACAGATTTCACCAAAATTTTAACGGCATGTGTCAAATTGATGCAAAAGAAGTTACTGAAAGTTTCGTGTTGATAGCTTACGCGGTTCATGAGCTATCACGAAAATCCGGGAGGGTGGTAATATTTACCCCCCCCCCCCCCCCAGCGCCGCGCAGATTAAGGTCGCCCCTCGCCCCGCACTGTATCTCGCATGCGGGTTGCGAGTCTGCAGTGCAGGTTTCGGGTTTGCGGGTATTACGTTCATTCATGGAGTGAGAACATTATTCTCTTATGCTGACTCCATGAATGCTGTGAAGCCGATACACTTTCAGAAAACTACGTATTGCCTCAATAACAGCAAAGCGAACCTAAAACCGACACTAACAAACACCCTGAAAGTCGCAGCCCTCGCAACGAGGAAAACCGAACGGAAGTAGACTCAAAGTCTACTTTTGAAATGCGAGCCGAGGTAGCTCACAAGTCAAAAACTTGCCGGGACTTGCTTTTTAGATGGTAGCGTGGGTCACTTAACGTAGAGTACATTCTTTAACTTTGAAGAAACCCGAAAACCTACAAACTCGCAACCTACATGCGAGGTCCAGTGCGGAGAAGCCTTAGGTAATGAGCTACCAGGTCCGCTTCCTGGTTGGCCTTCAAAGTTGTAAGATGAAGATATACTGAGGCTGGGCCGCACCCTGCCCTATCTCATTTGAAATGTAGCAATTCTTCCACAAAACATTTCGCATGCTATCGCATTTGAACGTATAGAAAATGGATATACCTAATTGTCTCAGATTTGGCCTAAGTTCAACTGTTTAGCCTCCAGAGTCTCCAGAGGGAAATAACTGCCAAAATAGACGTTTTGTTGCAAAAACAATTCTTTTGCAATACATTTTGCCTTAAAACTTGCACGAGCTTAGTTTTACCAGTATCGGAAACGCATCAAATGAACTGTAATTTGACTATGAAAGGTCAACTTGCAAATTTGACCTCAGGTCAAGGTCATGATCTGAGCCGAAAGGTCATCTTGCATATCAGTTGTCAGTTGATCCGTTTGGTCGAGGTGAACACATCTAAGGTGTTTTCATTGTTATAGCACGCCTCTAACAGAAGTTACGAGCGAAAAAAATGCGCATACCTTTCGTGACCTGAAATAACCTCAGGGGTATAAGGCGGGGGGCACTGATGCACCTCTCCGGTTCAGTGTGTCACCTTTACTGTAGATCGGTGTTTGAGGGTGCTAAGAATGACCTCCGTCTAAAAAGCCGCCTTTCAATTTTATTCAATCGACTGAAAATGAAGAGGTCGCAAAATTGACATGACCTTATGTCACCGATATAATTATTTTGTGATATGAATTTTATACATAATGTTGCTCTTATGGATCCGTCACTCGGTGTAGCTATGGGCGCGTGTTGCCCGTGGCGAGATGAAGCCGATGATACCTAATTTTAAGGTCTTAGGTCATTGGTTGACCTTCCTAGTCAGATCAATGACCCAAAAGTCGGGAAAATCGGGACCTGTTAGAGCGTCGTAGTGTTGCTGCTATGGGGTTTTTCGGGGTGCTGATCACAAATAGAATGTTAGTTTTGATCACAGATGATGTCTTCATGCATCCAAGCCAGGTTGGGTCAGGTCAGGCCAGGTCAACTAGTAGTGGTCCTGCCGGGTATTCGTAGTAGGTGTCAACCGCCTCTGACAGCTTCGTAACATGCTACGAAGGCACCTAAGCTTCTTCGTAAATGTTCATATGGTTGCTAAATTCGAATTCAGCTTCGACCCTATTTTCGAATTCAAATTCGACCCTATTTTCCAAAAATTCCCAAACACGAGCAAGGTCTACTCGCCAAGACCACCTCTACCACTTACCGCGACCCCGACTAGAGACCGGAAAACGTAGATTCGCCTACCGTGCCGCGGCGCTCCTAAATACTCTCCCCCTCGAGCTAACGCAGTTGCCTCCAGCCAGATTTGCCCGTGCTGTAAAAAAGGAGCTTAAGCCTAGCCAGAGTAGCCATAGTAGCTAGCCTCATGACTCTTGGACTATGAAAGGCAAACGAGTCTGTGTGTACATAGTTATGAACGCGGCTTCGTGCGGGTTACACCAAGTATGTGCGTGTTCGGCGTTCGCGTTGTGCATTTTCGTATCCGTAAGTGTGTGCGTTTTCTTGTATAGGTATTTCTTGTGTTATCTTCAACCAGCTCGGACTCGGAGTGTAATCGCCACGCCGATTGTGGATTGCTCTTGATCGTCAATACATACATACATACATACATACATACAGCTCCAAAAACTGGCCTATAAACATGTAAAACTCGAAAAATGAACCAAGTTCATCAAAGGTCAATGTCCTGACCTGACCTTCAGGTGACCTTGACATCCACGCTAATGCATGGGGCAACATCATATCATATGTCTGAACGCTTGAAACGACGAAAAGACTGCAAAGGCGCGGCAAATGCGAGCCGACATATGCCGAATCGCGATTCCGGCCAAACATGGTCTAAAAAAGTAGGTCACAAGTCAAAGATCATTTGGGTCATGGACATGACATTTTCAGGGTAGGTGCAAATTTGATTAAATGGACCCTCCCACCTTCAAAAAAGTTAATGAATTGGCATGAAAGTGATGTCGCTCCGTTCAGAAAGAACAAAAACGAATATCTACCAAATTTCACCGAAAAATATTCACCGGTTTTCAAGATATTAGACTTTTACTTTTGTTTACTTTTTGGGATCTCCGCTGTTCCTAGCGAGAGCGACTTCATTTTGAAAATGCGGCGTTTGCGGCAGATGTTGCACGCAAATAGCATATTTCAAAATCGTTAGATCACCGCTGACGTCACAAATTCTAAGGGGGCATTCCAATGCATTAGCCCCTTAGAATCCGAAAACTGCAAGTTTGAAATTCCATATCTCCGAATTAAAGCATTTTTCGATGTTGTGGGTGCCCAAACCGGTATTTGCAGGCCATGGCCACCAATTTGGCTGTCTTAACTCAAAACTAATGTTAAGGTGGGATGGTCACTTTAACGCGAGGGTACTGAAAGTTTCGTCGCGATGGGCCGCTTTTTATGCGAGTTAGTTTTCGAAAAACCGAGGGGGTCCGTTCGACCTCCCCCCCCCCCCCCCCCCCCCCACCTATACGGGCGGGGGCTAAGATATGTGCGAAAAACCGCAGGGGTGGTGCACAACCCATCCCCTTCCACCCCCGGGTTAACCCTTGCCCTATAGGGGGGGTCAAACGGACCCCCCCCCCCTCTATCCGTTGGTGGCTGAAAAAAACACCAATACGGGCTTTTTCGGTTTCGTTTTTTTCCGCGAAGCTCTAGCTCGATTAGGGGCGAAACGGCAAGAAGGGGTGCAACGAACCCCCCCCCCCCCTTATACGTTCGCGGCTGGAAAAAAAAAAACACCAATACGGGCGCGGGTTAATCCCTACTGCGCTGCTGCGCTCTGCCAGTTTTCGCCGCTAGCCATGGTGCCTGCGGACGGGCTCGGGTTGATCCTAAGGATGGGCGGACACTGACCTGTTTACAGCTCGGCGGCAGCTCGGACTGACCGGCGGCGGCGGGTGCTCGGAGCCGCTGCAGCCCCCGGTCGGCGGGTGCTCGGAGCCGCTGCAGCCCCCGGTCGGCGGCAGCTCGGACTGAGCGGCGGCGGCAGGTGCTCGGAGCCGCTGCAGCCCCGGTCGGCAGCTCCCGGCCACCCCGAGGCCGCCTGGACCGCCGTCAGGTGCCGGTCCGCTGAGACACTGTGATCGTGCCCTCTGCCGCGGCGGTCACTCAGACCCCCCCTCCCCCTGCAGTATCGCGCCGCTATCGAAACAGCCAACACAAGCGCGCCCTGTCCGCAAGGCCGGGTGGTGTCGGACGATCTAAAAATTTACAGGACCTTATCATCGCAGAGATAGCGCCCGGTGAGTAATCTATCTTCAAGCACTGGTGATTGCTATCATTTGGCCAAGGGAATGGCACGGCAGCAAAAAGGTCAGGGTGATTTAAATGTTACCAACATCTTTATGCTCAGTAGCTCAGGAATGACATCGCATCAATTTGAGGAGTTTGATGGCCATCAAATGCGTTTTGCCCATATAAAGTCCACTGCATTTCGAATGCGCTAAGGTGGGTGTGTTTTAAAAATCGTATGTCTTTGATATAAGACGGGAAAGGCTAGTGAGCAGCACGTGGTGCCGTGAATTTTTTAGCGACTATTAGCTCATCCACAGTACATATATATATATATATATATATATATATATATATATATATATATATATATATATATATATATCCATACCGCCACTGATCTGATGCAGTCAGCGAATGGATAGCGTGAATGCACCTACCTCATGCCATATGGAGGGTGCATAGATAGATGTAGTGATGTGATGAGTAATCACATACATGATATATTCGACAGCCTATTGCCGCAGTACTGCGCACATGTTGTACAGTGCGTCACGAGTGCCTGATTCACCACTGAGCGGCACGGTCCGTGCAGATAGGACACATCCGAGAGGGTGGGGGATCCCCGCCTGAGCTGTCCGGCCACGGAGACCAGTCCGGCTCGGCTGGCCTCGTGTCACGCTCAACGTGACGTCACCGCGATAGGTGGAACTGCTGATAAAATTATACATCACACTTCGCGCGACTTATTTCTGAGAAAACAAACGAGAGGTTCGATCGACCACTCTAAACTGTCGGAAGGTTAGCCCTCGCGCCCGCCGGAGCTATTGGTTTTCTACATACGTCTCGGCCGCATATTCTTGACTTGTATCATACGAATCGGCCGACCAACTAGCGCCATCTAGTGGGTGACGTCACAGTGATTCCGACCTAAAAGATACAGAAATATCATGACGCAAAAGATGGACATCGCATATAACTTAAACATTTTCTTGTCCTAATATAAACCTTACCTCTTAATAGTTCAAAATATGCCACTAAAAATATGCATTAAGCGAAGAACAATATGTCATAAATAGCATTAACTGCTCTTACTTTGCTAAAGATCTGAGACGTGATAATTTAGAAACAAGGCCATCAGAATACATGCATAATACATTCAGGAATATTATGCACTTTATTTCGGTTACGCGTTCTCCACCATTGGATTTAATATGCTGCAGGTACGCGATCTCGGTAACACATTTCGCATGGATTCGCCGCTTTTGCCACTCACCGACGTGCGTTCTCGGCGGTTGATTTAGAGCCTGAGGGGCGGCGCGCTGGCTCGTTCAGGCAAAGCTGCACGTCTTTATACCGAGTAGGTGTCGGCCGCTCAGCCGGGCGCGCTGCACGTCTACAAACGGGTGTCGGCCGCTCAGCTGGGCGCGCTGCTCAGAGCCCGGATGACGTTGTCCAGTACAATGCAGTGCACGGTGAATTGGATGGGTTTGCGGCAGAGCGGACACTGGTGGCCGCCGCAGGCCTGCGCCCGGCTCAGACAGCCGGCGCAGAAGGTGTGGCCGCAGCCGAGGGTGGTGGCCGTGTCGATGGTCTCCCTGCAGACGGGGCAGGAGAGCTCCTCGAGTACACTGGCCGCCGGCGGTGGCCGTCCACCTGACTGCCTTCTACTGGAGAGTGGCTGAAACACGACACACACATACAGCTAGAGTAAAACTCGCCCTGCACAGCGTCTAACAGCAATGTCTAACAGCACGTCAAACAGTATACTATGTCCACGCTACGTCAGAAGGCTGGCCTTCAGGGAAGGGGGATGATCGCCGTTCGGCCCCTGGGGCATTCCACGATAGATCGTACCAGGCCCGTCACCCTCATCTCTCAGATTTGAATGAAAATTGGTACAAGGGGTAATCATAGGCTTCAAAAACACCTGTCAAAATATCAGACTTCTCAGATCAAAACTTTTTGAGTTACATTGCATAATATTTTCTAAACTTCAGATTGTAAGGGTGAGTTTGATGAGCTATAACTCAAAAACGAGCTAAGCAAGCAACAAACGGTAAACAGCTTTGAACTAACGATGAATTAAAGATTAATACAGTATTTTTAAGATTGGAAAGAAAAGCTTAACACATTGAAAAAAGGCGTACTATTTTTTTAAATTGTCTATAATTGCCCTTGGGACCAAAATTTTTGCCATTTTTATTTTTTCAAAATAAACCTCAGGTCCTTTAAAATCGACATGCAAAAAATTAGAAAGGTGTTCTTTCTATAAGTTCCTCATTTAAATGTAGGGGAGAGTGGGGTAAGATGCCCAGGGTGGGAAAGACGCCCCACCCCCTCTAGCGGCGAAACAAAGAATCGAACCTGGATATTAATGTTCTTAGCGTAAAGCGGAAGTCTGCCTTGTTAACTGCACAAAAATTTGCGAAGCTCAGTTGGGCAACGGCTGGCTGGTGATTGCATGTTTTTTGTTTGCCGCTTTCAAAAAATATTTTGGTGTCAAAACATTGTAAATATCAAAGAAGGTAGATAATTTTTGCGTCCCTTGCTATAGTCGTGATACATTAACATGCGTGTACTGTGTCCCAAACAGTTTGTTTCAGGGTGTAGTTTTATGACTAACAAATTGTGCTGATTTAATGTTACTTCGGTACCTTCGGGTAAGATGCCCCCTGTCCTGATGGGGAAAGACGCCCCCCTAAATCCCTAGGCTGTCCTTCAAGCAGCCCGTCAAATCATTTATTACATACTTGTGATCAGAGACAAAAGCCGATCTGGGACTATTGAGAGTCCAGTACGGTCGGGTGCTCCCCATGCCGGTCTCTCGGCCCACACAGCGACTTTTTGGGCGGCACCTGACTCTGAGAGTCCTCAGGACGGCCTCTGTGGGCCCCATTATTGGCTCCAGGGCCCCTCACGACATCCTTTGAGGGCTCCCACGTTTGCTCCACGGGCCGCGCTGGCATCTGAGGTCCCCACGATGGGCTCGAGGGCCCTCAAGCATCATGAAGACCTATAAAGGCCCCACAGTGGTCTCCGAACGCCACCACGGAGGCTTGTTTGGCCGCGCTGGACTATGATGGCCCTAACGATGACCTTTGAAGCCCCTTACGACTACTTTTGAGGGCCCTTACGATGACGTTTAGTGTCTTCTGCAGGCTCGAAGGGACAACTGATTCGTTCAGGCAATTCACGTGCCCATTTATGTCACTTATAGTGCAGGGGCATCTTCCCCAACGCCAGGGGGCGTCTTTCCCACCCTGTGGGGTAAGATGCCCCCTTTCACTTCTTCAGGAAAATGCTTAATAGCAAAAAAAGTTATCATATTTCAGGTACGTAAGTGTGATATATTTGGAGAAAAATGATGTCGGCTTCCGTTGAAACTCCAAGTTTTTGCTTTCCGATCGTCATTTTCGAATAATATATGACAAAGCAAAACCCTGGGCATCTTTCCCCACTCTCCCCTATACAGCTCGCCGTTTCGCCTCTAATGGAGCTAGAACCTTGCAGAAAAATCGAGCATGTGCGCCGTTACAAGACGCATCGAATAATACCACATTTTAAGGTCTCAGGTTCATTGGTGACCCCTGAGGTCATTTCAAGTGACCCAAATTACGGGTCCGGTTTTTGATAGATGACGTCGCAACAAATGGTCGCAGAGCCGCGATTTTAGCATCTTTGTGTTTGCCTAGCTCCGGCGCGTCGAATGGTATACTGTTTGTTCTGGTGAAGTCAGCTTAAGTCGCTGACCTCGGGTCAGCACACTGCCGTGTATTTGGCTCCGCGCCCCGACCGGGCGGCCCAGCCGGCAGCCAGCCCCCGGGCATCACCTGACCGCTCGAGTCCGCGGCAAAGCCAACCAGCGCGGCGCTGGACAAACAGCGCCGCTACAGAGATGGTTAACAGTCGGGTCAGGCCACGAAGCTGAGTGAATGAGATCATATTGCACATCATTCGATTTGCAATGTCTTTCCGAGTCCATTGGTAGCTTTCCCGTCTCTCTAGCTCAATTTGATCGAGAGTTATTGACGAAAAACTCTTATGACCCTAGTGACGTACGAATGACGTCACGAAAGATCAACAATGCAAAAGTGAGGCGAAAATGACTTCAACTGAACTTTCAGTAACCAGTGATGTCACTAGGCAGCTTTACCACACCATTTGTAGGCTCTTTTCCGAAATCACAATTCGAGACCATCACGGTGACGCAAAATAAGTACATTTATAGAAAGAACACCTTCCTAATTTTTTGCATACTACTTAAAAATGATCCAAAAATGTTTTTAAGTAAATAAAAATTCAAAAAAAATGGTCCTAAAGGCATAAAAATGCAAATTAAAGGAAACTCGAGGTGTTATATATCAAAAATAATATATATTTCAAAATTTTGAAAATGCATATTATTCTTTGTTTCAATGCAAGTTTAATGCCGTATAGCATTTGGCATTTGGATTATCCGTCTTAGAGTTACAGCCCGCCAAACTTGGGGCTGCAACGCAAGATCAAAAACATGTTATACACTATAACTCAAAAACCACTCATCTGATAAGCTTGAAATTGTTACAGGAGGATTCAGAGCCCCTGATTACCCCTTAGACCAATTATCGTTAAAATCCGAGAGATGAGGGTGTCAAATTCGAAAAAAGTGGTACGATCTATCGTGGAATGCCCCTCCCCCCCCCCCCCCCCTATCAGAGTTTCGCAGAAAAACGAGCACGTTACCCGTAACGGGAGGAAACCAGTGATTCAAAAACTTAAGATCCTAGTTATTGATGAACCTTCCCCGTCAATTCAATCTCCCAAATAGGGATCTAAAACTAATCTGATTTCGAGCTTCGAAAATTTGTGATCAGTAATGGTATTTTCGTACCTATATTTAGGGTAGGCAGAGTCAAGTCAGATCAGGTCAACCAATAGGCGTCTCACCGACTATGCATAGTAAGTGTTAACTGTTAACCACTATTTGCAGTATTGTAACATGTTGCATAGGAACCAGAACTACTTCTCAAATATTCAGATGGGTGCTAAATTCGAAAAAAGCCCAACAACTACACCAAGAAGTCCGAAGCGCACGGATAAAGTAAGCCGACGTACGCAGAATCTGTTCGGCTCTGAAATGGCCTCATTGGACCGAAAGGGCCTGACCCAACAATACAAAACAAAAGCAGAATCTGTATCCTGACGTGGTATGGTCACGGGAAAAAGATCAAGAGGTTAAAGGTCATTTGGGTCAGAGCATAAAGTTAATTCAGGGAGGGTGCGAAGGTGATTATATCGAGGGTACTAAGTCCAACCCACGCCACCTGTAAGTGCGAACAAATACCGCATGCATGCATACCTCTCTGGCACTGGAGCTGTTCTCTGACTCTGAGCGTGATAGGGCCAGCGCCAGGTTCAGCTGTTCCTCCTCGTCTGAGCTGGGCTGCTGAAGGGCCTGCGGGTGAAAGGGGGCTGGTAACCCAGGTAACTCTGTCAGCATCGGGCTCATCCAGAGATGTCGGCCGTGGGGGCCAAGTGCGAACATGCCGAGATGCTTATAACTTGTGCTTTTTTCAACCTACAAAGTGATCACTGATCAATGATCTCGGTATCGACAATATTAGGCTACGCTGGAGGTTCCATGCTGTCAAACACAAATACAATATCAGTGAATGAATGACAATGTCAATGTAAATGGATGATTACGAATGTCAATGTCAATGAATACGAATAGGAACGGCTTAAAGTTGACTTTTCCCCGGCAGTCGATGCCTTTTTGTCCCTAACGTTCAGGTTACGTTCGAATAAAACAGCCTATGTTCAATAGTGTGTACAATGTACATTTTGATAGATAACTGAGAAACAAAACAATTTTTCCGCGATTATGAAAATTGCACGATCAGATTATCCACACAATATGAAATTGAAAGCGACTGGTCCGACGCACCCACCTCTCTGGCGCTGGTCTCCGACTCTGAGCGTGACAGGGCCAGCGCCAGGTTCAGCTGTTCCTCCTCGTCTGAGCTGGGCTGCTTAAGGGCCTGCGGGTGAAAGGTGGCTGGCAGGTCATTGTTCATTAAATTAGCCCTCTCCCACGGTTCGTCGGAAGGTCATCTCAGGCTCAAAAGAAACGGTATATACCATTCGAAAGCTGACGGTGAGCTGAATCCAAAAATGTATTTATTATCAAAATCGATCGATGGCCTTTTTTGAAAATTGCGTTTTTGTAAAAACTTAATAATCTTTTATTCAACGGGCTGTCCCGGACATTCTTGAAAGCATAAACATGTATTTTTTAGTTCCAGTGAAAGCTGAACGCCAAAGGAACAATATTTAGCAAAACAATATTTCCAAACATTAATATGCGTCTCCCACAGCCGAAAATAAGGCGCAATCACACAGCTCAGTGTCACGATGGACCAAAGTCAGCCACACAGAAGCGTGAAATGACCCTTATCGACTCGCAGACCCGGCGCTCTCGGCCCGCCTGACCGGCCACGGAAAGAACGTTCGGCTCTCGTTCTACTAAACAAATGTCATATTTGTCACTTTAACTGTCCACATCGCTATTAAAGTTATTCAGGATACCTGTGAAGAAAATTCATTGTTCTGCTCGATTTACAACATGCTTTAATTTACATTTTTCTTATACATGTTTTGTTCCATCCAGCTGCGATCAGTGCCCGCGCAGGGGAAGTGAGCGGGGTTTCACTGTCAGAGGCTGTACTGGTGACAGCTGCTCGGCCGTGCGACCGGTCAAAGGTTACCCTGCCCCGCCGGGCGCTACCCCCACTCCACCCGAGCTGAGGCCGGTGCAACCTCTGACATTTCAGCGCGGCCAATTTTCCTTATATGGGCATGATACCAAGCTCAATTGAGCAAAGTAGACATGAACAAATGCAAATTAATGCATGATGTGAAGATGTCAGAACAATGAATTTTCTTCACAGGTATCCTGAATAACTTCAATAGCGATGTGGACAGTTAAACTGACAAATATGACATTTGTTTAGTAGAACGAGAGCCGAACGTTCTTTCCGTGGCCGGTCAGGCGGGCCGAGAGCGCAGGGTCTGCGAGTCGATAAGGGTCATTTCATGCTTCTGTGTGGCTGACTTTGGTCCATCGTGACACTGAGCTGTGTGATTGTGCCTTATTTTCGACTGTGGGAGACGCATATTAATGTTTGGAAATATTGTTTCGCTAAATATTGTTCTTTTGGCGTTCAGCTTTCACTGGAACTAAAAAATACATGTTTATGCTTTCAAGAATGTCCGGGACAGCCCGTTGAATAAAAGTCTATTAAGTTTTTACAAAAACGCAATTTTCAAAAAAGGCCATCGATCGATTTTGATAAAAATTACATTTTCGGATTCAGCTCACCGTCAGCTTTCGAATGGTATTTATCATTTCTTTTGAGCCTGAGATGACCTTCCGACGAACCGTGCTCCCCGCCGGGGTATCCACCCGCCGGCACTGCAGCCACCCTGCCAGGAGTGGGGGGGGGGGGGAGGCTTAGTCCCTGTCAAATTTCCGATTGGATGGTGGCAGGGAGACGAAAGGCGGCAATAAAAAGCCCTCATCAAGATGCATGAGCTGCTTCTATGCTGGGTGACAATCTGCGGCCGGGTGGTGGGAGGGGGCGTTTTTGGCCACACCTGCCAATTTTGTGTGTGTGTAAAAAAAACTGCGGCGCGCAGCACTGCAAAGCATGGTATAGCTTACGACGCAAAAATTTCATATGCATAAATGCATAATCGATGCATAAATAAAATGTGTTATTTTTACCCCAGAACACATAAGGTCAGGTCACCAGGTCAAGTTAAGTGACCATGTCTTTATAAGCCTTGTGATTCTGTCATTCCTACAGTTTGCATCCTACAAGTTTAAAACTTGGGCTATTGCATGAGGGAATCAGTACTATGTAACAATTTTTATATCTCGGAATTGTGATATCGGGCCAATTTTGCGACGAGTCACCATTTTGAGTCAACGCGAATGAAAAAAAGCTGCAATGCTTTTCTTTTGAACGAAAATTTCTTCAAACATCGGGATATGTAATAAACATGACACGCTGGATCGGAATATTGCACCCTTGACCCCTTTCATGCCCCTGAGGTCATCTCAGGTCGTAAAGCGTTTCCAGCAGTTTTTTGACAATAACTTCAGATAGAAACACCTATATCGCTGAAAACACCATGAATGCGTTCAGCTGAATGAAACAAGTCGACTGATATGCAGCTTGACATTTTCTGCGACGTTGACCCGAGGTCATTTTTTAAGTTGGCCTTCAAGTCAGCCTATAGCTCATTCGACGTGTCTCGAAGAGAGAAACGAGGTGCCGGCAAGATCAACGCATCACAATCTTGGTGTTAAAAGTTAGCACAGAAAACTGGTTTCCGCTAAACGCCAAACTTAGTTTCTGCCCTCTGGATGCTAAATCATTGGTCCTAGCCTTCGCCCCATTGGGGGGGGGGGGGCTATGTTACCACCCTGTCGCGTTTTTTGCGTATAAATAAAAAACCGCGGCGCGTAGCGCCGCGCTGCATGGCATAGCTTTTTGTACATCAATTTTGGACAATGTGTGAAATTTTTGACCCCAGGTCATGTCAGGTCAGGTCACCAGGTCAGGTTAACTGACCAGGCCTAAAAAAAGTTTGCAATCATGTCCAGCCTGCAGTGTTTGTCAGAAAGGTTTTAAACTTAGTGGATTGCATGATGTTATGGGCGCCTACAATTTGCATATCTCGGATTTTTTTATATCCGTGACCTAAGGTCAGGTCAGTGGCGTGACCTTAACATTATAAGTCAATGGAGAAGAATGAAAATGCCTCTAGATCCGTGTGTACGCATAGGAACAGTCCAAATATTTCAGAATCACAATGATTTGGACCACCCGTGACGACCAAGGTGTCTTTTTTGCTGATAGCCTCTAGAAAGGTCATCCGAGGTCATTTGAGGCTACAAACATATTTTTGCCAATAACTCAATTGGAAAGAGATAGGACGCTGGGGATGGCCTCATTGTGTTTGTCTTGTTGAAACGCATCGAATGACATGCAACATGACCTTTCCCGGTCAGGTCATGACCTTGACCTGAGGTCAAATTTTCAGGTTGACCTTTCAAGGTCAAATTATAGTTCATTCGACGCGTCTCGTAGAGAGGAACACGATTCTGGCCATAGAAATGTCATGGCTTTTTCTAGTCAAAAGTTATTGTCGAAAAACACTTTGCGAAAAAAAACAGCTATTTTTTAGTTTTTGCCCTCTGTAGGCTAAACCGTTGACCTGAGGTCAATTTTGATAATGACCTTATCAAAAGAAGAGTTCAAAAGCTATCGATTGCTTTCAATTCGTTTTTCTAGCTATCATAGTTCCTGAGATAAATGCATGTTTTCTGAAAAATATAATGACATTTGCCAAATTTTGACCTTTGATTACCTCCAGTGACCCCAATATTGCTCCAAGATGAAAAATGACTGAAATACTTTCAAACGTACCCATTTAGAGATATTGACTGCTTTTTACCGCGTCTTTCTAGCCCTCTTAGTTTTTGAGTTAGAGGTGGGTGGTAACATATGCCCCCCCCCCCCCCCCACTAGGGCGAAGTTGGCTGAGACCGCCACTGGGGCGCGGGCTAGGAGAGGTGACAAAAAGTACCGGGAATTTCCTTTTAAACTTTAAATTAAGTGACTAACAAAGAAATTACTCATAATCTCATCTTAATTAGTCCTATCACAAGTAACTTTGTAACTTTGTAAATTAAACTAACGTAAAGTAAAAATGTAAATAACTTTGCGTTTGCTCAGGCCAAGCATGAAAGTAATCGGCAGAGTTCTTTACTCTGGGGTTTTTCATAACTCTTGTCACGGTATCAAGATAGAGAAACAGAATGAGTTTCCTAAAGCTGACTTTTTAGTCAGTGAAAAACCAGAAATCCCATAATTCAAGAGCTATTTAATATGATGGATGTTTGAGCCCTGTGGTCCGACTCTTGGTCAGAGATTGTTTCCAATGAAGTGTTTCGTGCGAGAGCGCACTGTCATCATGGATCAGCCATTCCCTACCCCTGCAGCTCTCAATTTCCTGCGCCCCTAATTGCTGCAGAAAGGCGGTGCAAACTTATTCCCTAATTATGTCGAGCCCCTCTACTATCATTCCCACCTCTTATCCTAGATCATTCAACACCAGCTGTCTCACACGCTCGCCATGAAAAGCCGTCCTTTCCTGGCGGTAGAATTCTCACTGCGAAATGACTGATTTTGAAATATTTGTTTTGGTCACATTCCTTCTAAGCTTAAGTAGAGTTGTCGCCTCGAAGCCCTCGCAACAGGTGGATGCATCCTGTTTTCTTTTCTTCCATAGCTTAGCTAATAATTCATCATTTCACTGTCTCCCGTAGAGGGGCCAAAATGCCCTTGTCGTTTTCCGTATATTTTTTTTTATTATAAATTTAGCTCGAATGTTTGAATGGACGGATTGACAGAGCCGGGGCCCACGCTAAGCAGAGCTTGTTGCGTAGACCCCGACCCCTACCGTCCGATCGCGCAATTCCGGGTAACGGGAGAATTTAGATGCCAAAGTTTAACGTGCCCTTCAAAGCCGGACACGGCCTGTCCCACTCAACTGACTTCAACTGGCTGCGGTTGCTCCCACCAACCGCAGACCATCCCCGTCAAGAGTCTCAAATATCGAGCGCCGGAGCGACTCGAACCCGGGCTCTCACTACCGGGAGTCCGGTGCTCTACCAACTGAGCTACGGGACAGGCAATAGATGTCTCCTAAATTACTGTATAGATATCGCCACCAAACTTTCAGGACCTCTGCGGGCATTAATTTGAGATGTTCCGGCAGAGAAAATTCAAAGGCTATGAATGGTTGGTTACAAATGGCGTCAAAATGACGTCATATTCGGCCATTTTCGTCCTATATTAACCTTTAGTCCCAAAAAGGTTTGGGACGAAAGATTTCGTCCCTGTCACGGTTGAAATTTTTCGATTCGTTGAGTCAAACCGATGATTGAGTGTTCGTCCAAAAGAGGCGCCTCTCAATTTCCTCCCATCGACATATACCTAATCGAGAGGTCGCGAAATTGGTCTGACCTTAGGTCACATATATTAACACTTCGAGATATAAATTTCGTACGTACTCTTTTACTGTTATCAATCGCTGAAAGTTTCAAAGCGATCAGTCAATCGGTATTTTTCTGAGGTACTCGTGAGGTCGATTGACGTGACCTGGCTGGTGACCTGACCTTGAAGGACCCCGGTCTGGAATTTTCACATGTGGGGAAACTATGCACAAACAGGTGTGCGAAAAACCGCAGGGGTGTCAGAACACCCCCCCCCCCCACCCACCCGTAGCGGGTTAACAGCATAGCCGGGACGCCGGTGAAAACAGGGCGCCGGAGGGCAAATTAGTCGCGTGACATTTGGAACTTCTCCCCCCTTCGTGTGCCTTCTACATGCTAAATTGTCACGTGTGAATTTCACGAGCCTTGATCAAATCGCCTCAGGCGCCCTGTTTTCACCGTCGTCCCATAGCCGTTGTACATATCACAACTCAGGCTAGCCCAGCCTCGGCAGAGTGTTCAATTTGGCATGCAGAATGTGGACATGCTAATGCCCAAAATGTGAGGAACTGATACTCACCATTTAGCTGGATTCTGTTCGCCACCTGCCCACTGCGGGATACTACGCACTATGCACCACAGTACGCACTAAACACTACAAGTACATAGACCCCGGCCCCCGGCCGTCCACTGTCTGCCCCGCGCGGCGCTATCCACTGTCC